GATACAAGTTTGGTTGTCACTTACCTGTGAAACGTGTCGCGCAGTCCCACGAAGGAGGAAGAAAGCGGCCATAGCCGCGGAGCGTCATCACGGAGTAATGAAGGAGAGAGGGGACGGAGAAGGAGGGACCGAGGAGAGAGAAAGAGGAAGTAGAGAAGAAGGAAGAAGGAGACATCGAGGTGAAAGACAGACATAGCCGAGGGAGAAAAAAAAAAAAAAAAAAAAAAGAGAAAGAAAGGAAGAAGAAGGTGAAGGAAGRGGGAGAAGAAGACAAGGGTGGCGAAGAGGAAGGTGTCGGCAGCCATAGCCGAGGTGGAGAGTTGACCGGAGGGTTGACCGGGGTGTTGACCGGGGTCTTACCGCGTTGACCGAGGAGTTGACCGGCGCCGTCGACCAAGATTTTGACCAAGCTGGAGTTGGTAATATCTCGCCAAGCCCTAGCCTACCCCCTCACCCTGTGGATGTGCACTCACCCTGCGGTACTTGTTGAGTCTGAGTCTGTCTGTCTCTTCTTTCTGCATTGAGTCTCTTATGTCCTAAGTGGTAGTACTCTGTGGATGAAGGATAGGGCCTGGATGACGAAACCCTTACCTGACCTTGTAGAGCTGATACTGTGTCTAATCTCACTGTTCCGGGGGGCCTAACCCTCCCAAGGACCGGTGCTGACCGGCGGGACGCGGATTGGGCGTGGCATGGTGGGCTTGAACGGCGAGTTGGGGCTGACACACCACGCAGTCTTAAGTGTTGAGGGCCTTGTTGACCCAAACCCCTACCGGATCTAGTAAGGCTAAAGGCATTGTCTGACGACTCGACTGTCCCGGGGGACACGAACCCTCCCAAGGACCGGTACAGACCGTCGGGCTGCTCGGTGTGGCACGGTAGGCCCGAAAGGCTGAATTGTGGGCTGATGCAACAGGCAGAACCAAGCTGATCACGTCGTCCTGACTGCGACGTTAAAGAATTCTTGCGGAGTTACGGGAGATCTCCTTAAATGCCTCCTGATCAGCCACTGGTTCAGTAGTGACAGCCATAGTGTAGGTCTAGGCTAGCGACCATAGCTGACAGGGTTCTATACGAACCCTGTGGTCCTTAGAGAGTCAGTTAGTCAGTGGTTTGGGTAGGTCTACGTGGTGAGTGGGACATTGTCGTGCACCTGAACACCATGGACGACTACCCCATGTACGGTTTGTTTGTGGGGTTCTCCCTCTGGGGGACCCTTTGGCGTTTCATTTTCCCATTGGGATTCTGGAACACATTTTCGTGTAGGGTAGAGACCAAGGGTGGTACAACCACCCACCCCTACACACCTGAAGAAGAGGCCAAGGCCGGCGCGATCCTGAAGGAGAGGAAAGAGAAGAAAGAGGCCAAGAGAAAGGCCTTGATGGAGGAACAGGCGGCGAAACTGAAGAAGATAGAGGAGGAAATGGCCAGAGAAAGGAAAGGTTGAAGAAAGAGGAGGAAGCGAAACTGAAGGAGGTAGAAGAGGAGGAAGAAGATGATCAGCCATTGGAGAGGAGGAGATGGCAACGAGGGCAGACCAGTGAAGTTAGAGAGGATGAAATGGAAAAGAGGATCTCGGAATGGGTTGCCAACTTGTCCTTGGCAGAAGAGGAGGTTGTAATGTATATCCCTAAGGATGAGCAAGAAGCCTCCGTTAAAGCATGGGATGTAGAGGAAGACCCCCTGAAGCGGCAGGCGATGGAAGATGAGACGAGGATGGAGTGGAGGCTAAGAATGATGAGGGAAAAAAAGAGGAGGGTGGATGCAGCAAGTGAGGCGGCCAAAAAATTAGAGGGGGTAAAAAACTTGAAAGAACAATTGGCCGCCCAGGTGGATCTCCAACGAAAAGTGGAGATCATCGCCCAAAACGTCGAGCGCTTGGCGCGAGTCCAGGAGGAACAGTATGCGTTTAGCAGAGGTCAGGATATGGTCGTGAGCTCGATGCGGATGGGATTTCGTGATTTTGCTCACGAACTGGTAGGCGCCGTAGGAGCTGAGGTGAAGCATCGCCTCAAGAAAACAGAACGCTTCTGCGTCGGCGCCATTGAAGGTGTTAAACTTGCGGCTCCCAAGGAAGAGGAAGCACGTCCTCGCAGGGAGCCAGTCAAAGTCAAATTCCCTGATTCCTACAGCGGGAAAAAGGAAGAGAACTTTGACAATTGGGAAGCCAACGTTAGAACGTACGTGCACCTGCAGAAAGTGTCCCCCGATGAGCAGGTCCTGATAGCCATCCATGCATTGAAGGAAGAAGCCGCCAGTTTTGCATGCTCCTTAGTCCGTGCTGCTAACTGCAGCGATGATGTGGTTGCCTACTCTGCTTTCACCCCCCTCGCAGACTTTCTTAAGTTGCTGTACGGACAATTTGCAGATGTCTCGCGCAGTGTCAGAGCCTCTGACCGATCGCAGACTATCCACTCTCGTCCGTGGAGGAGTGCCAAGGCACTCAAGGGAGTAATGGACGAGTTAGTGGCTACTCCTGACCATGGGGTCACAGAGACCCAACTGGTCAACCTCTTCTACCGGGCTATGCCCAAATCGCGTGGGCTCTTCTTTGAGAAGAGCCAGCAACCCACCATGACCTATGACGCCTTGAGCAGGGAAGTGGTGGCATTTGAAGCAAAGTCTGCGTCAGTTTCCACTTTCTGGCACAAGGACTTGGACAAGGGAAAAAAGTGGAAGGGTCGCACTATCTCAGGACAAGTGAAGACAAAGGATAACCTGATCCTTACCTTAGACGAGGGTAGTGTCGATGAGATCCCCTACGATCAGATAGAGTGGGGGCTCGAGGAAAATGACAGTAGCAGTAGTCAGGGGAGGACCTACGCTGCTGTCGCGGCTGGAGGGAGGCCGCAAGGAGGACGAGGCCAGGGCCAAGGGGGTCGGGCCTTAGGGAACCGTTCTCAGGGCGATCAGGGGGTTGGCGGCAGAGGAGGAAACCGCCAAGCGGGAGGAAGGGGTCAAGGTCCCCCGCAAAACCGGTCTAGGAATAGGTCCCCTTATAGGAGAAGTGGATGGCACCCAGGGCTGCCACAAGGCAGGCCTTGGGAAGATCTGGGCCTGGACCAGCGCTTATGGCAACAACGTGTGAACCAGGGGCAGTGCATTTACTGCGGTGACCCTGGCCACATCATCAAATACTGTCCGAAGTATAAGGAGGATCGTTGGGCTGCACAAGAAGCAAAAGGCAGCCGTCGGTAGGGGTAGCAACTGCCTCTACCATAGGCCCATGTGAAGATGAGTCAGCAAGCCGGCACGAATCTCCCAAACCACATGAGCCCATGGCAGAAGTAGCAGGCCGGTGCCAAGACAGCTGCCCAGAGACTGCGGGTGTTAGAGTCTCTCTAGGCACTTCCCTCACAGGCGTGGCATAGGAATTGAAGGAGAGAATGCCCACTTGGGCCAAGATGAGGAAAGAGAATAGGGGGCAACTTATACTAGTAGATACAAAGATTTTTAGAGGCCGAGCTGGCGCCTTAGTGGGTAGTGGGGTCACTCGCAGTTATATTAGTAGGAAGTCGCTGCAGAAGCTGAAATTGCAGTTAAAAGTCCAACGACTAACAGACCCCATAGTAAGTATCCTCGCGGACAATCGCACTATGCGAGTAGAGGAATACGTAGAGGGAGTCCAGGCGTATTTCCGCCTAGAAAAGGATGGGAAGGTGGAGAAAGTTCTCCATTCCCTGACTCTCCTCSTAGAGGATAGCCTCCCGTTTGACATAGTCCTAGGTATGGACTGGGGAGAGGCAGCAGGGGCCACACTCCACTTGAGAGAGCACGAGTGTAGGCTCCCTAGTCCAACAGGCGATGTCAAGACTGCCCGCCTGTTTCATGTGTCAGGAGCAGACAACTCCCTGTCGCATTGCTGCCTTAGCGCTCTTGCGTTCGCAAGGCTAGTGAAAAAGGAGCAGCTAGAGGAACAGGCTTTTGTAGCCTATGTTAGGCCCGCCACTGAGCCTAAGGAAGAGAAGCCTATGGACCCTGCTATTGCCAAGCTGCTGGAAGGACTCACAGACTTAGCGAAGCCGCCGATAGCAGTAGTACCGCGGCCGATCCAGCATCGTATTGAGATTGAGCCTGGCAGTAGGACCCCCAAGGGAGCAGTGTATAGGATGTCCCCACGGGAGTTGAAGGAGCTGCGCAAGCAGCTAGATGAGCTCCTAGAGAAGGGTTGGATTAGGCCCAGTTCGTCTCCATTTGGAGCACCTGTTCTGTTTGTCCCCAAGAAGGAGGGAGAGCTTAGACTGTGTATAGACTATAGGGGTCTTAACGCTGTCACAGTTAAGAATGCTAAGCCACTGCCCAGGATAGACGATCTGTTAGATCGAGTGCAGGGGTGCAGATATTTTTCGAAGATAGATTTGAAGTCCGGGTATCATCAGATAGAGGTTCATCCTGATGATCAGTACAAGACAACTTTCCGGACAAGGTACGGGCACTACGAGTTCATCGTGATGCCCTTTGGACTAACCAACGCGCCAGCGACTTTCTAGCGATATATGAATGATTTGTTTAGGCCGTGGTTAGATAGGTTTGTTGTAGTTTATTTGGATGATATCCTAGTGTTTAGCAAGACCTTCCAGAGCATCAGGGTCATCTCAGGCTGGTCTTGGAGAAGCTGAGAGAAGCTAACTTCAAGATCAACGCAAAGAAGTGCGAATGGGCGAAGACCCAAGTGTTGTATTTGGGCCATGTCTTAGACGGAGACGACATCAAGCCAGAGGATAGTAAGATTGCAGCGATCAGGGATTGGCCTACACCGCATACGTTGACAGAGCTGTGGTCGTTTTTAGGCCTAGCAAATTATTATAGGAAGTTCGTAAGGAACTTCTCCACTATCGCTGCGCCCCTTCGCAGATTGCTAAGGAAAGAGACCATCTGGAAGTGGGACAAGGATTGCACGTCTGCCATGAAGAAGTTGAAGCAGGCACTGATAGAGTATCCAGTCCTTAAGGTGGCCGATCCTTCCTTACCCTTTGACGTCACTACGGATGCAAGCTAATACGGCATAGGTGATGTTTTGCAGCAAGACGATGGCAATGGTTATAGGCCCGTAGAGTTCATGTCTACCAGAATGCCTTCAGAGAAGGTTGCGACATCTACCTATGAGAGGGAACTCTACGCTCTCAGGCAAGCGCTAGAACATTGGAAGCATTACTTGCTTGGGAGGCATTTCAAAGTCTATTCTGACCACGAAACGTTGCGATGGTTAAAGACGCAGGCCAAGATGACACCTAAGCTTACTAGGTGGGCCGCAGAAATAGACCAGTACGATTTTGACCTCAAGCCAGTCAAGGGTACATATAATGTAGTTGCGAACGCTCTGAGTCAGAGAGCTGACTACTTTGGAGCGATAGTTCACTATCTAGACATAGGGAGAGACCTGCAGGAAAGAGTTAAAGAAGCATATGCGCAGGACCCTATCTATAGTGACCTCCTCAAGCGAGTAAAGGAGGCCCCAGAGACCGAGCCCGATTACCGCACTACTGATGGACTGTTATTTGAGAAGACTAATGTAATTGACCGTCTGTGCATTCCCAACAGTGAGGAGATCCGTAGTCTGATCTTAGGAGAATGTCACGACACAGAGGGTCATTTTGGTTGGCAAAAGACTCTAGCCAATCTAATGCACTCGTACACCTGGCCAGGGATGAAGAATGACTGCATAGAGTATGCTCGCAGTTGTAAAGTCTGCCAGTGGAATAAGACTACTACGCGTGCTCCACTAGGTCTTCTCAGGCCCTTGCCTATTCCGGATCAGCCCGGGGATTCAGTGTCCATCGACTTCATGGACGCGGGCGTCAAGAGTAGGCATGGCAAGAGCCAAGTCATGGTGATAGTCGATAGATTTAGCAAGTATGCTGTTTTTATACCTTTGCCTTCAGAGGCACGGACCGAGTTAGTGATCCGTAAGTTTTTTGATCATTGGGTCAGTGAACACGGGGTCCCATTGTCCATAGTTAGTGATAGAGACACCCGGTTCACGAGTCAGAACTGGCAGGAGTTGATGAGGGTCTATGGCTCTAAGTTGTTAATGTCGTCTGGCCGTCATCCCGAGACCAACGGTCAGACTGAACAGATGAATAAGATCCTGCAGCAAGTTCTGAGAATGTACATTAGACCAGATCAAGTTGACTGGGACGAGATGCTCCCCAAGGTAGCCAGTGCCTATAACAATAGTGTGCATTTGTCTACATGCCGCACTCCCAATGAACTGCACAAGTCCTTTAGGCCGTGCAGACTGTTTGAAGGACTTAACCGGGATCAGATTCATAGGCTACCGCCCGGTACTAGGGAGTTTGCTATACAACACGAGAAAGAACTAGCTACTGTTGTAGAGAACCTCAGGAAGGCCCAACATAGGATGATAGAACAAGCCAACAAACATCGTCGCCCATCACAGTTCCAAGTAGGCGACTTAGTCTGGGTCAAAGCTAAAGAGTTTGCTCCTGAGGAAAACATCTCGCAAAAGTTACTGGCCACGTATAGAGGACCGTGGCCAGTTCTAGAAGTCAAGGGCAGAGAAGATGGTCCGTCCTACTCGATAGAGATTCCACTACACCTCCACACCTACCCAGTTTTCCATGCGTCAAAGTTGTTGCCATGCACAGTAAGTGACCAGTTTCCATCTAGACGTTCCATGATCCCTCCAGACATGGATGGGAGGTACGACATTGACGGCATTGTAGGGGAAGACGTGTTTAGAACCGGAGGTCGAGGTCGTCCTCAAAAACAGTATAAAGTCAGATTTGCATATCAGGAACCAGAAGACGACCGGTGGTTCACCAGAACTGAACTTCTAGAAACAGCTCCCGACATAGTTAGGGCCTACGAAAAGGACAAAAAGGGTAAAGGTCCTGCCTTGGACTGAAATATTCTCGGAGGACCTCGAATTTAGGCCGGCGGAAGTGAAACGGTATTCACCAGTTCGCAGTAGCTGATGCAGATCCCAGGGCTCGATCCCTAGTCCCCACCTTACCTGTGTACAGTACCTGTGTCAACCCGTAGAGTCGAACCTGCGACCTGTAGGACTGCCAGTGGTAGGTAGGTCATCATAGGTTACAGGGTATAGGGGATTCRAACTGTAGACCTGTCGGGTAGGAGTCTAGAGAGTCCARCRGTCTTAGCTGTAGACTTTCCGAAGGGTCAAAGTCGTAGCTGCTACTTACCTGAAAGGGCCAAAATCGTAGCTGCTACTGGACCGAAAGGCCAAGTAGATGCTTCTAGAAGTGGCCTTTCGGAGTCAGCCCACTGTAGGTCAAGGCAAGTGGGCAAGTGGTGGAAGTCCACCGTGCCGAGTCAGCAGTCCCAGTCCAGTCAGTCCGGTCCAGTCAAGCAAGTACCGCCTGGGACTGTGTGCACTGTGGGCCAGGGAAACAGGGCAGGTCGACGAGCCACAGAAGTATAAATCAAGAGGCCGCGCACAGCCATTCATTCATTCCTGCGGAAGCCATGCGGAAGCGCTGTCTCAGCGGCTTGTGCGAGGAGGTCTGCAGTGTGCCCGAAGTCGAAGTGGGCCAGAAAGAGCTTAGTATAGCGATAGCGTAGAGGCAGCCATAGCTGCCATAGCTGTAGCCGATGTGTGTGTGTTGTGTGAGTATTCAGAGTGACGCGTGTGGGATATCCAGGGTGATCGGGTGTGTGTGAACAGTGAGTTGTTGGGCGCAGAGTGGCCATAGCCAGTGGAAGTGAACTCCTATCTGGATGCCATATCTCTGAGTTCTGTGTGGGTGCCTGTCGCCAGTTTGCTGCGATGCTGTTTACATGCATGAAAAGTGTGAATGAGACGAGTCTGATTGCACTGAGGTGAAAGTCAAATGTAGAAAGCAGCTTTAACTCCTTGCTTGATAAGCATATCTCACAGACTCCCGTAGAGGGATCTGAGAGGGAGATTAGGGAAAGGCAAGCTGACAGTCAATCCTCCTAACGGGAGCAATCAATAATTGTCAAGGTTCCTTCGGCCATAAGGAAGGAAGCGTGAGCGTGTATATTGATGTATTCATTCTGACTTGCCGGGTGAATAGGAACTGGACCGACGCTCCCCAGAATGGATATGGAGCCAGGACCATATGGACCTGTTTAAAAAAGAAAAAGAAAAAAGGAAAAAAAAGAAAAAGAAAAAGAAAGCAGCTTTAACTGGCGCCTGGGAGACGAAAAGGGAAAAGAGGAAGAAACATGAAGGGGGTTACCGGAGTTGATGAATCTCATGAAAGCAGCTTTAACTGGAGCCTGGGAGATGAAAAGGGAAAAGAGGAAGGAAAAATGAAGGGGGTTACTGGAGTTGTTGAATCTCATGTCAAGGCTGCTTTGCTGTGCGTATCTCTGTGGCAGGTTTCACTGGGTATTGCAGCAAAGAAAATGTATGACCATAATGTGCTGGTAAAGAACCTGCAGGCTGTTGAAACATTGGGATCAACATCTGTGATTGCATCTGACAAGACTGGAACATTAACGCAGAACGTCATGACAGTCCGTGAGTCCAGCCTACCCAGCCTCTATGCCCAATCGGTTCCTGCACATTTTGGTGGGAAAAGTCCTGCGAACTGCTACCTTCTTCCCTCCTACTAATTGCTTCCTTATCTCTCTGAAGCACAATTGCCACACACAGACTCTATCATTATCCTTGAAAAGCAAAGGATACATGGCGTGTAGCCGTTGAGGGGTATCTTGAAGAAACTTCCCTGCTGATAATCCGAATTCTGCATGAAAAAGGGACCACGCTTTCAATGTACTGACCTGCCTTAGCCCGGTTGGAAACTTCTCTTGAGTTGAAAATCGAGCGCTGCGGCAAGCAGGGCATATGCTAACCTCCCATAACTTATAAGGCTCTGCACGAACCAAGGTCTCACTGTCAGATCGAGAATCTGACAGATGTTTTTGATATTGCAGGTTTTGGGCGCAGCCACCTTACAACTAGCAGAATGATTGGCTGCAAATGACATAAAGGCGAGCTCCAGTCGCGAGGCAAGTTAATTGAGAAGGGAGGTACAGAGCAAAGAAAAGGGATGGAATGGGTGGGACCCAAGGGTGGAGGCCAGTAGATCACAGAGTTTGACGACTTTCATGGGAAGCTGACCTCGGCAGTCAGCAACAGACTTGTAGAGTAAAAATGTTCTGTTGAAGGGATATCGATCATATCGGCCAATTCACCAACGCCGTGTTGGCAACACAAATAGAAAGAAGCCACTATCGAACTGTGCTCCCCGAAGTTTTACAGGCGACTCTGAAATCGGGGATGGTAAGATAGTGGTTTCTTTGTTTTCGTTTCTTTTCTGGAATTTTTTTCATTATGCCCATCACAGATGCATTTATTTGCATTATGCCCCTCAAAAAACTGGCTTACACTGGCGTGCCAATCCGGCCTGGAATCTTTTCGACAGGCCACTATCATGGGATGCCCCTGCTTGTGTGACAGTCAGGCCCACAGCATGCCATGCACATTCTGCCCCCTACTTTTTGCCATCCCCCCTCCCATTCAACTGGCACTTAACGCACAGGCGGGCATGCACAACACACACACACACACACACACACACACACACACACACACACACATACACACACACACACACACACACAC